CCCAGTGTATCCAGACTTTGCTCTTTCTCTTCCCTTTTCACTTACTTGGACAGCAAAGATTCTGTTGCACTGACTTGCACTTCAAAAATTTATTGTTTCCAAAATTCCTTCTTTGAAACCCTAAAACTCAACAAAACATTTGATGATCCTTAGTAACTTTAAAGTCTGTGTCACTTATGGATTTAAATAAAGAATTCACCCCATCTTCAGTCTGATAAGTCTCTGAAATGGTGTGCTGACATCTCATTCATATTAGCAATCCTATGATTTAAAAAATCTTTATTCCCTCAGGTTGGAAGGCACTCGAAATACAACTGGGGAACACCTATGTTGCTGTTTGCTGTTATATGCTGATAAGTCAGTTCATACTCATAGCAACCCTGCATAGAGTCTCCAAGGGGTGACTGGGAAGACTGAATCACCAACCACCTGGAGGGAACAGCAATCACTGAGATGAAACAAAGTATATGATTTAACTAATGCAAAATGATGATCTACTGTGTAAACCTTTATTTAATTCACAATAAAACATTTCAGAAAATAAAAAGACTCAAAAACATGAAAACAAAAAGCCATTTCTTTTCAGAATTAGTCTTCAGTCATTATAAAGTACAGAATTTCATAATTATATTAAATCAAAGCAGAATAACATATCAAAAAGAAAACATATTTACAAATAAATGTGTCCTTCAGAAGTATAAGTAACAGTACATCAATGTATCAAAAGGTGTGAATTCTGTTAGGTAATAATATACACTTCTAGAGATAAATTTGAAGTCCTAGTATGGTGCCATAGAATAAGCAATGGACTGCTAATCACAATGTCGGCAGTTCAAACCCACCAGCCTCTCCTTGGAAGCCCTCGACAGGGTTGCTATGAGTCAGAAGGCACAAAACAACAACAATAAACATAAATTTATAAGCTTAAATATATGGATAAATAACATATACTAGGACCCCAAAGAAACTCCAGAATGCTAGAGATGAATGAGCCTCAGTAAGTAACAAAAGCTCTGTAATGTCCAGATCCTAGAAAGCAGCAGAATGGCTTTGTAGGTGTTCTTCATCTCACTCCGAGTCCTGATATGGCACTTTGGATAAGCATAGGACTGTTAACTGCAAGGTCTATGTTTCAAACCCACCAGCCACTTCCTTGGAAACCATAAACAGGGCCACTGTGAGTTAGAATCAACTCGATGGCACTCACAACAACAACAATTTCATTTCACTCAGAAGATTTTAAGATTCTTTCCAAGTCTTCAGTCCATATTCTATCTTCTTCTACATCTAGTTTCTCTTAACTTATTATGGCTTTAAAATAGAGTTTGTTTTATATCGCATGTGTTGCTTTTGGTTATTTTATAATCATTAATTTTAATTATAGGCTTTATTTTGCTCTAAAAATAAAATTTACACTTTCATATCCATGACACACAATTATGCACTAGTATTTCTCCTGGATCAGAATTCCTAAAAATTTCCCCCGCTCTATACCCTGCACAGTGTTTCTGAGACTGTAAATCTTTACAGGAGCAAAAAGCTTCATCTTTCTCTGATCTTGAGGTTAGCAGCCCAACTCATAACCACTACACTACCAGAGCTTCTTAATATCCTACAGTACATTTCTCAAAAACTCTATAGAGCAGGGATTCCATAACACACCATGATTTTCAAGATTATATCAGAGATTTGATTTTCCTCCTCATACTTAATTTCAATTTCTGTCTTTTTTTTTTTTTTTTTTTTTTTTTGCATCATATTTTCATTTGACTAATAGTTTAAATTTTTTTTAAGGTTTTTATTGTGGATTGAGTGAAAGTGTACAGGGCAGATCATCAGTTTTACATTCAACAAATCATACACCTTGTTTCATTACAATAATTCCCTCCATGTACCATCAGTTAACAGTATTTCTCTCTATTCACTTTCACTTTTTTAAGAAACAGAACAAAACAAAAAAACACTAAGGCATATATAATAATTTACACCTCCAGAACGCACATTCTGCCAGTCTGCCTCCTGACCACCAGCTCTTAGTCCCTCACTTCCCATGAATCTAGAGTCCTCAGCTGCTCCCCCTCTCCATGACCCACCTCTGCCTCTATCTCTGGCATAGCTACTTCTCTGGATAAGGTCTCGCATTCTGTTTGTGTTCTTCTCCCTTGATGGTCCTAGAGTCCTCTGTTTCTGTACTGTAAGATTAACCACTCTCCTGTTTTTGTTATAAAACTTCTACCTTTACAATTATGATAGTCACAATTAGTCATGAAAACAACTATTCACTATTGAATCATAAGAATCTTATCCCCATCTCTTTTCACCAGACCCATGTAAACAAGATGAAAACTATTCAGTGGGGACTCTTTCTCCCCCCCACCCCCCATACTCTTAAACTAAATTCCCTTTTGAAACCTTGTAAGCCAGTCATTTCGTGCCTTTATCACTTATACGAATAGTTTAATGTCACCGTCTTAAAAAAACAGATCCAATACATGAGCATTCCTTGCATTTCCCTCTCTAGGTTAAATTGCATTTCCCTTTGAATTTTCGAAGTTTCCTTTGGTTATGAGATTGTTATCAATATGCAGGATATCAGAGAGCACGTGTAAGGCTGGGGCTCTGGAAAAAATCAGACTCCAGGTCACATTGAAATCCGGAGTGAAGTTAAAGTACTCTGGTGTTGGTACTATGATGATCGTATGAGCTTCCTTCGAGAAGTTGGTGAATGGAACAAAAAGCCAGGAGTGGGACTATCGTCCTGAATTCCAGAGTCTAAGGTTGTTGTTTTCCTTGGAGAGGTTATAGACGATACCCTGGGTGCAGGGAAGATGTCAGGAGAATCGTCATCAGGGGACCAAATAATGAAGAGGGGGCGCAGAGTCCCAGAGAATGAGCATTTGGGGAAGGTGTAGATAGGGGACTTACTGGTCATGTTATAAAAGGAGAGGAGTCCAGAGGAAAAGTCAAGAGAGATTCTGACTCGTCCAGGGGCCATATTGCGGGAAAGCAGGGTTGGAGGTGAGGTAATGGCCCAGGCCTCATTTCCGTAGCAACCCATTGCCCAGAACCCATTCTTAGGTGACACAGAGATTATTTCTTTCCTCACATCATCTCTGACAACACCCAGGAACCATCCAGTCCCATCCACAATCTGCACCTCCCAGTACCACCTCCCTGATGTGAACCCTTTTTGACCCAGCACACAGGGCAGGCAAGTAAATCTCTGTGGGGTTTCTGGAAGCTGCTGCCAGAGACGTCCACGAGTCACACATTAATTTTCTTCAGAAAGAATGAGTTCTGGATGAGCTGTATTTGAATCCAATGTCACATGCCAGAGACGTCCACGAGTCACACATTTATTTTCTTCAGAAAGAATGAGTTCTGGATGAGCTAGCTGTATTTGAATCCAATGTCACATGCACTGTGGAGAAAAAAGAAATCCATCCTAATACTAATTGATAGATTTTTTTTAAGGGATGGAAGATGAGAAAAGAAAATTTTTATGATATTGAGTCCAAACAGGCAAACAAAAAGTTCAGTGACATAAGAAATGTCAAGTGGAAGAACTATCTAGAAACACAAAACAGACAATACATAAGGAGTCCTTTACCTGCATAGTAGGAATCACCAACAAGGAAACCACCACCTTTTTAATTATCTTAGTGAAATGTTCATACTAACTTACAATATATACTCCAGTTAAATCTCAGCTCCAGCCTAGAGAACAAGGATGACTATCCCACTATTTTTTCTTCCTCCTCCTTAAATAAATCTCTTGGAAATCAAATTAATGGTTTTCAATGCTTCTGATTATATATATTATAAACTCTGATCTTGCTCAACACTAATCCTTGATAAAATTAATGTAAATTCTTGTGTATTTCATGAATTAATGAATATTGACTGAATGCCTCCAATATGCAACTGATTCAAAAAGAGAGGTAAGTAAAAGTAAACAGTAAGGTTCCTACACCAAATCATACTCCCTACTATTCCTGTTTACCTTACCTTTTTATCGCTCTTGCAGATCTTCAGGAATATAGCCAAAAGAATTACTGGTACTACCAAAAGAGGCATTATCATCCATAAATCAGCCATTCTGGACTCTGGAATGAAACCTAAGAAGTCCATTAAATCATGAAACTGAGAAAATTTGAAGATTGCCCTTTTCATCTAAGTAGCTCCTGAGCTGGATAGAGGATGACAATTAGATCTCTCGAGGAATTTGACTGCTCCTCCTTCCCTGTGGAAGCTGACTGGAGACTATTAGCTTATTTGCATTTTTTTCTCCTAGAAACGCACACACACACATATATCTGGTAGAATAGTGGTTACGACTCGAACTGTGAACCGCAAGGTCAGTAGGTCATTAGTTTGAAACTACCAACTAATTACATCATCCAACCACTGGAATAACTGGGATGGAAAAAGGTGGAATTATCAAGACCACAATCATGAAGATGGTGCAAGGAAGATTATTCTCTAATCCAAGAAAATATCTAATATGGAAAAAAGTACTGTAAATGTCTTTACATCAAAAGATATTATGTACATATATTGAAAACAAGGCCAATCATTAGAATTTCGTATATACCCAACAATAGATCCTTAGAACTTTAGTTGGGGGTATGAGGGAGAAACTCAGAGAAACAGGACCCCTATGCCTCCTGAAGACAAGCTGTGCAAGAGATGGCAGGATACTTCATCAGATGTTGTTGTTGTTAAGTGCCGTGGAGTCGGTTCCGACTCATAGCAACCCTGAACAGGATTTCCAAGGCTGTAAATCTTTATAGGAGCAGAAAGCCTCATCTTTCTTCCACGAAACCGCTGGTAGTTTCAAACTGCTGACCTTGCAGTTCACAACCCAATTCGTAACCACTACGCTACCAGAGCTCCTTTACTTCATCAGATAGAAGAAAAAAAATTTTAAGATCAGTAAAACTAGTACATCTGGGTTGGTATTCATAATTATTTCTCAATGCTGAGAGAAATGTATGGAATTACCAAGCTGAGAGAGAAAAGGCTGATGTTTTCTCTTGGACTTGAAGGGAGTTGCTGATGGAGCAGGTCACATTCACAATGGAACTATTTCTAACTAATAGAGATGTCTCCACATGGAACAGCCCATAGCTGTCATGGGTCAGGACTTCAGAAAATTAAGGGTATTGTCTTTCCTTCAATGTCCCTCCACTGCACGTGGGGCTGAGGGAACCACCCATCTGAAAAGCACATCAGTTGCATTTCTCCATCCTTCCACTTCATCATGGTGATCAACAGAGACGAACCCACACCAGGGGGTATAGAGATCAAGGACTCAAAGCCTAAAGTCTCCTTGAGTAATTGTAAGGTTAAATACTTTACTAAGAGAGAAGAGAGGGATTCAATGGATGTCTGGAAAACAGCAAAGCTTAAGGGGTATTATATTCCATTTATGGATGAGACAGGCTGGAAGATTTTTTGCTTTGTATTTATGTATGCATGTATGTATGTATTTAGATTCCTAAAATCATCCAAGGACCAATTAAGAAGTGTTTTTGCCTTTGCTTTTGGGGTTTTTTATTTTCTATCTCTGAGAACAAAATAACTTTGACCAAGGCATATATCACATATACAGGAAAAAAAGAAGTAAGAGACTATTCTCAAAGGTCCAAATCTTATCATATGTATGGCCAACAGCAGAAGATTGTGGAGATTCTTTAGCTTCTCAACATATGTCCCTGAAGATATTTACTAAATAGTCATTAATTTTAACTCACAATTTATAGGAGAAACAAGTTAATTATCAGATTATTGCTTGTTCTCAATGATATTATTCTAATCTTAGAAAATCAATTTTACTCCCAAATATGGACAATGGAAACTAATGATGTATGGATAAGTTTTATCTTTCCCCCATCTCTGGCAAATCTGTCAATATTTAAATAATTGTTTAACTGTCAGATCTACTTTAGACAATTCTCCAAAGCTGTCCTGTAAAAATGTCTTCATTTTCTTTATATTATTCCTTATAGCTCATCCCAACCATTCCCACTCTTGAATTGAGGTTAATCTTAATGACATTGACCAATAAGTGGTAATGTAAATAGATGTTATAGGACCTCAGACTTCATCAGGTAGAAGTGTTCAGACTCTAGAAGCCCTGAGCAATGAGCAATGATGTAAGAAGTTGGGGCTAGCCTACTGGGAAAAGGGGCCACAAGAAGAGGCTCTAGAGGATGAGAATAACTATCCCATTGCCTAATTTGAACTTAATTGCATCTAGGTCTTAATTGCTGTGGTAGTTCAAATAAATAGAGTCTGTTTCTAAATTAAGTAACTGAGAAAGGCTCTAAAGAGTTGTTGCTGTGGTTATTAAGTGCCGTCGAGTTGGTTCCAACTCATAACAACCCTGTATAGGGTTGCCATCGAGCAGCTGATGGGTTCGCAGTCCAGTAATTATCCTACAGCATCACATCTGTTCTCCCCTCCAAGGAGTAGCACAGGTGTTTTCCTGAGTTATAAAGGCAGAGCAGCATAGATGAGGTGGAAAGGATGGAGGGAGAGTTATGGGGTTCTCTGCAGGGAGAATGGCGTCTACAAACATACATGGTTGTGGTGGAGGTTATGTGCTATAGAGTCAGTTCCAACTCATAGAGATTTTCTATACTGTTTCTGAAGCTATAAATATTTCCAGGAGCAGAAACCCTCATCTTTGTCTCATGGAGAGGCTGGTAGATTTGAACCGTGCAGTTTTCAGCCCAATGCGTAACCCACTACACTACCAGGACTTCTTACAAACATACATAGGTTTAAAGAAAACAACAACAAAAGCCACTGAATTAATAAGAATTCTAATTATAAATAAATAAATAGAACACTGCCCCAGCATAAATGTTATCAGAGCTAGCATAACCAGTCTCAATTAATGTACAAAAGACTAGTGACACTGCATAAAAAGTAGGTGGCTAAAATAAGTGTAAATAGGAAGCCTGCTCTTTCTTAAAACAAGAGCAAATCCAGTGGTTCTTTAAAATTCAACCATTATGAGTTTAGAAATAAGATAGTGGGACTTGCTCTGTAAGGATTTTCTGGAGGCTTCTGTTAGATTTGAGACTTCTGGTATATGGACAATGTTAGACTAATCAGCGGGGTGACATGTTATCTTAATAGAGGACAAGAAAGAAAAGAGAGGTATAGAGTGGCTTGCTTTCTGCATAATTAAGCTGGGTACAGCACAGGTTAAGGAGCTCTGGTAGCATAGTGGTAATGAATCGGGCTGCGAACCTTGCAGTCAGCAGTTTGAAACTACCAGCTATTACGCAGGAGAAAGATGAGGCTTTCTGCTCCCGTAAAGATTTACAGCCTCGGAAACCCTGTACAGGGTGGCTGTGAGTTGGTTCCGACTCCACAGCACATAACCACCACCACCACAGCACAGGTTAATGGTAACTATGATTGTTATTTTTATCAGCCTGGTCACTGTCTGAAGGTACTGGGAGGGGTTTAAGTTTTATACACAAATAATTAAATTTGGTCCTTTTGAGTTTGTGGGCTTCACTCATTTACCACACTTACTGAACGCTGAAGGGGCTGATATAAATTTGAGCAATGAATGTGTGTTAAGAAACTTTCAGGTGCCAGAGAAAATTCCCAGTAACTAGCATGTTACGATAATAGTAACAGGTGCAGAATCAAAATATCTATTTATAATTCTCACCTGCTACCTTCAAATCCAAAGTGGCCTCCTGATAGACACCATCTTTTTCAAAAAGGCACCGGTATTGTCCATTATCTGAAGTCCCGGCGTTGTGGATTTGCAGAGTCAGTCGACCCTCATCAATGGCATCACTCACCAACACTGTCCTCCCTATATATTCTTCCATTTGCTCTCCAGCCACTTGGTCCCCATTCATAAACACACTAACAGCTGGATAACGATGTTCTCGGATCCACCTCACCTCCATGTTCTGAGCATTAGCCTTGGGGGATAGGTAACAGGTTAATTGTATGTCTTCTCCCACTCTGACAGTGAGGGGCTGGGAAGGTCCAATCACTCGTAAGGAAGCTGTTAAATGCAACATACAAACATTTTAAAAAATAAAAGTTTAAAAACTCAAAAAGGCACAATGAGTTTGATTAGCAAAAGCATCTCAAATAAGTTAGGATCCCATCCATAGACATCCATGGGAAGTCATGAAGCTCAAGGCCAATTTTTTAGAGAGGTGGGGTTTTGATGGAATAAGAACAGAGGCTGTTCCTATTCAAAGTAGAACTATCCCATAATGTATCCCAGTCTCCAAAAGTTCTCACTAACTCACATGCTTCTACCCAAAATTTTATTCAGTTTATATACCAATGAGAAAATAATTTTGGATTTAAAACTCCAATAATAAAATTAACACTCTACCACTTCTAAACTGGAGGGCCATAAACTATTTCTTACTCTCTCTATGCCTCAGTTTCTTCAACTGTAAAATTGAGAAATTACTACTAACACTACAAGATTTTTGTTGGCTTAAGGAAACTCATCTGTATAAAGTCCTTTGATAGGCAAGGGGAGGTGTAGGAGACTTCAGGATGTTGGAGCTAATTCTACCTCTGGCCTTGAATTCATTGTTAAGTAGATTTTTAGTAATGAAATTTGAAGAAATCTTTTCCAGAGTTTTGTTTACATAATACCTTGTATGTTCAGTTTACTGTTCTCAGAACACCTTGAGAGATATAAGAGCAAGAATGGTGGAGATTGGTCAAATAAAAGCACAGAACAATACTGGATACACAAAAGAAGTCTAATTCTTCCCATTGTAAATAGAGGGAAAGACTTGCTCTAAGGGTTTTCACCGATTCAAATGACATCACACTTTTAATTCTCATCAGGCCCTGGCCAGGACGATTCTGCTTTATTAAAGTTCATCTTCATAATTTTCTATAAAATAGTAAGAATATTTGTTATTATTTATAAGAGAAATACAGACAGAAGTTGGAGGTTATCTAGCTGGAACTCAATGACCAAAGAAAAAAGATGTCCCCATATGCCATTAACCAAAATCTGCTAGAGTACCTCTCTAGAGAGAAAACTCACTGTCAACAAAATTGCAATTTTCAGGTCATTTCCTTCTAAATAAACTAAGATTTTGTGATGTGGATATGTGTTCCTGAAAAATCTTGCGACTATCTATCAAAAATTCAATCCCTTCTGGAGTCCGAAGTACACTAAGTTACATATTAATTTCTTGAAACTTGATAATGTACTTATACCATATAACCTTCTTTCAATCAGCATATTTGGTTAAGTGGGCTTTGCCTTTCCTTATAAGGCGCTCTGGTAGCGTAGTGGTTACGAATCAGGCTGCTAACCTCAAGGTTGGCAGTTCAAAGCTACCAGCCACTCCCTGAGAGAAAGATGAGGCTTTCTGCTCCCGTAAAGATTTACAGCCTCAGAAACCCTGTGCAGGGTCACTATGAGTTGGAACTGACTCCAAGGAACTTAACAATAACAACAACCTTTCCTTATGGACTTCTGGTATGGCACTGTAGTATAAGCACTGGACTGTGAACCACAAGGTTGGTGATTCAAACCCACCAGCTGCTCTTGAAAACCCTGTACAAGGTCGCTAGAAGTTGGAATCCACTCAACAGCACTTAACAAGAATAACCTTATATGTGCTAACTGTAGTATATCTAGATTCATAGATTAAATGCAACATAAAGATGATAAAATAAAGATCAAAGAGTTATCAGAAGCATGTATAAATGATTGAAAACTTACATTTTTAAGGCAAATGTGGTTCAAAGATAAACATCACAATGTCCTAATGGTTTTTGACAAACCACATATGTCTCTAGGATTGTCTCTCCACTGTAAAATTATATTACTCTTTTAACTTTTATAGTTATTGTGAAAATAAAATGAAATAATTCCTCTAAAGCACTTATAGTTCTTAGTATACAATGAATATTTCAAAAACCTAGTTATTATTTTTATATACTAATAACATTAGTTGCCAGAGTAGAAACTGGGGTTTTAGTCTCAAGACTTCTTTAGAGAGTTGTTTTCTGGTGAACTTTTGGGGTCCAAAAGTTTATTTTTGGACTTTATTTCTGAGTTTCTAGTTCACAAGGACAATAAAGAGGCAGCTGTGAAGTTCCTGGTCTCTTCAATTCCCATAGAATGCCCTGAAAGTTTCAGCACAGCCCTCTTTTCCCATTGACAGAGAGCAAAGGGAAGCTCCATGTTTCCCTCCTGTTTTATCATGCTCCCTGGATTTTAGAGTGGCATCTTGGTACTCAGAATGTTGGAACAGCACAATTTGTTATGGTACTTTGTGTATGGGGCCTCCAATGGTTAAATTAAACTGACTGAGAGAATTTAGAGGAGTGACTTTTCACTTAAAATCTTCCTAATAGAAGAGACCTGTGTCAACCTGCCCCAAAACAGTGGTTAATTTTCTGTCCAGTAACTAGCAGTTTCCATCTTTTCTGGTGCAAGTGGTATTGCCCCAGGCAGAAGGAAGTAAGATTCAAAGAATTACCTTTGACTTCCAGAGGCCCTTCCCTTTATCTTATGGTCTCATGGAGTCCAAAGTGTCACATTAGACTCTCACATACTGGAGTGTGTTTGCCACCTAGTTTTCCTCAAAAACTTGTACATGTGCTGAAAGGTGAGCTTAGCTTTACTTAAGTGTGCACACTCATACACAATTTATACACACATTCCTCTGTTGTTGTTAATTGCTATTGAGTAGGTCTCCACCCATAATGACCCTGTATAGGGTTTTCGAGGAGCAGCTGGTGAACTTGAACTGCCAATCTTATCATTCAAACTGACTTTGCAGTCCAGCGCATTAACCCACAGCACCACACGGAAAAGAATATGATGAAAAGATTGGATGAGAGATAAATATTCATCTGGGCAGAGCGCAGGCTAGTTGCCATGGCTTGGGAGAGAGAGACAGTTCTGTTAAAGGAGAAACCAGAAGGCACACAACCATCAGCTGACTGAGTATCTTTTAAACCATTTATCATAAGTACAATAAGATAATGCCTGAAGCCCAATTGTAAGAGGGGAGAAAAAAACTAAAAAAGAAAGAAAAAGCAATAACAAACAGAAAAGGTATGGACTCAGCCATAGGGTCCCAGGCTGTCAAAGTAACAGCTCCTTATTGATAGTAATGAGGTTAGTAATCTAAAAGGGTAAAGGTCTGGTGCAGGACCCATAGTAGAGTTTGAGGGTGGAGGTGGTACCATTTATGATGACACTGCCCTCACTCACACTTGCTGTTTGTTGTTGTTAAGTTCTGTTGAGTCAGTTCTGACTCATTACTGTTCAAACCAACTAGTACACTAACCCATAGCTTCACACCAGGACTCCTTGCTCACACTAGAAATGTATTAAAAGGTCCTCTAGAGCCTGTCTGCCATGCTGTGCCATTCCCACACTCCCCACACAGAGCAGAGATGATGTCCATGCCCCTTAGAAGCGCCCATCTGAGCCTCCATGAGCCCCAAATTGGCAGGTTACACAATGGAAGGATCCCAGAAAGGTGGTTGTGGAGGCCAGCACTTTGCCAATCCCCTCTGGTACTAACTGAATGTCAGACTTGGTCAAATCATGCCGCAGTATTACATCTTGATCAGGTGGTCCAAAATAATTCCCATGCACTTTGTTCATGAAGCAAACAAAGGCTACCCTACATTGGTGCATGTCAATGTGTTCTACTTACCCAACTCAGTCTGGAGTTTCTCTGGAAATAGAAAGAGAATAACATGTTGAGGAATTTGGTCTAAGGAAAATGACAGAAACTATTTCAACAAAACAAAAGCAAGTTTTACTTTTAGTGGAAAGCTCAATTCATTAAAATAAATAAATAAATAAAATGCACAAAAACACTTATCCTGGCTGTCCCAAATGAGTTTCCTTTTCTATGCATAACACATATGCTCTCAGTTCTGCCACCCCAGGATTCTGTTTGCTTATACTAATAGTTAGCATAGTGACATTTAGCTATCTGTTATGTTCACTTCATAAAGACATAGAAGGTTTAATAATATATGGACATAAACAATGATCAACTATTAATTCCAACTGAGAGATTATATATATATACATAATCTTATTTATATTTATACATGTATTTTATCTTTCATATGTGTAATTATCTTTTTCTACTCCATTTATATGAATAAGAACAATTATACATTTAGCATAAACAGTTATGTTATTTAAGCTAATAATGCCTACATGATTGGAATATGTTGATAGATAGATAGATAGATAGATAGATAGATAGATAGATAGATAGATAGATAGATAGATATGTAATCTTTATCATTGAATAGTTTATTATATTTTTCAGCCTTTAAATTATTTGAAAAAAATTATCTTCATAATGCTATAATTTATAGCAAAATAACTATTGTTACACTGAGGGGGTTTTTGGTCATTGCTTTTGCTGCTATTTATAAAAGAGCTATAATTAAGATGTTATTATGTAAATCATTATCTCCATCTAGTGATCACTACAATGCATAAAATGAAAACACTTAACTTAAAAGGAAATCATTTTTCTTTTCTGTGCAATGTGATGTATACACATGAGCAGAAAGGGGAAAACAGCAGAATCTGAGAATAAATGAACAGCTTAACTTTAGTGTATATATTTCTAGTTGCAAATTCTTTATAGATTTTTTAAATATGTTGTTGTTGTTAAGTGTCATTGAATTGGTTCTGACTCATAGCGGCCCTGTATAGAGTTTAGTATGATGGTGGTTATGTGCCAAGGAGTCAGTTCCTACTCATAGGTTTCTGAGGCTATAAATCTCTTTCTCCTGTGGAGAGGCAGTCCATGGACTAATATCTCCTATTAGTCTGAACAGGATGGTTTGAAAGACTGAATACTGACCTGAGATGAAGATGGTGGACTCCTTTTCCTCATGTAGGATGGGGCTTTGGATGACACAGGACACAGTCTCTAGAGAGGTGTCCCTGACCACAAGGGTGGATTCCACATAGAATAGGCCATCTCCATTTTGGATGTAGTGCTCAGAAGCAGTCAACATGTTCTCTCCTCTGGCATTTTTCCAGTACACCTGGGGTTCTGGGAACCAGCCTTCTGCAGTGCACACAAGTTGGCCTCCACTTTCCACAGTTCCCTCCATGTGGATGTCAGGGGCAGATCCTAGACCTGTAAAGGGTAATAACACTCCTGAGGTCTGGAGCCATGAAGTCACGAAGAATAGAAACAGACTCAGAGAGTTTTGCTCATTCAGAGAATCCAGGGCTTCATGGAGTTCAGGATCAGAAATTCATCCTAGGTTTTCTTTCTATTCAAATTGGAATTCAGGCCCATTTATTTGTTCCCCATTCTGGATCTTTTGATTTTAGCATATGAGCAGTATCATTCTTTAGATTCAGGCAAGAAAGCAAGAGAAAGGAGAGTCAGGACATTTTGCTTATGTTTCTATTATTTTAAATGATTTTTGATGGGGGTAACTTATTGAGGAACTCTCCCATGCTGGGAATCTGTCATTTTCATCTTAATATTATCTTTGTCAAGCATTATTTTAGATGATATCTTGATTTCAATTTAAACAAAGTAGTTAAAGTGAGATATCACTCCCATGGGCACTATTTTCCCATTCCTTTTGTTGGTGGTTGTGATCTCAGGATGCAAGAAAATAAACCAAGGCAAATGAAATGGGGCACTTCATGAGGGATTCTTATATATAATTATTCCATTCAATGGAATAAATGTTTTTTGAGAAATCCAGTTTTAGAAAAATTAATAGATTTCATAAAATTCCTTTAGTGTTATTCAATACATCAATGCCAGAACTCAAGCAAAGGCAACTATTTGTTCCATTGATGAGAATTATGACTCTATCATTTACTGTTAAAAATAGATTCGGTCACTTCACCCAGAACCTTATCAATTCATAGCATAATTTCAGATGTCCCTGATAGTGAAAGGTATTAATGTGCCCTCCCACCCTTATGTTTAGGAGTCCTGGTATGGTGCTGTAGGGTAATGCACTGGACTATAGTCAGTTTGAACAGCAAGGTCGGTAGTTCAAACTCACCAGCCACTCCTCAGAAATCCTATACAGAGTCGCTATGAGTCAGACTGGCTCTACAGCACTTAACAACGACAACAGCTCCCATGTTTAGGAGTCCTGGTGTGGTACCATAGGATAAGCACTCAACCTCAAGGTCAGTTTGGACTGCAAGGTTGGTGGTTCAAACTCACCAGCCACTCCTCGGAAACCCTATACAAGGCTGCCATGAGTAGGAACCAACATGCTAGCACTTAAAAAACACACCATGTTTTAGTAATAAAAGGACTCTTCAATTCAGTATCAGCCACTATGACTATAGTAATAGTCAAGAGTGCTGAGAACAGTAAGATATTAAATGAAACACCATTGTGGGAGGTAAAGAAGAACATAACATCTGCCAGAGAACTATTTCCTTAGTAGGTAAAAGAATTTCCCTGATTTTCTCTTTTGCACACAGAGGGGTATTGCTGTGAGGGAACCATATGAAATTTTACTATCCAGATTTTTGTCCATAAGACAGATACCTTTCTTCAGTTGTCCTTTATTGCCCACTCTTTCCTGCTTGGATAATACAATAATATTCTGTGAAACATTGCCATTCACATTGGATAAACTACAGAAAACATTCATTGAACACTATTGCATCATAACCTAGTCACTGAGCATGATTCCATTCACTGAACACTACTACTAAAACTCTCCATAAAAGCACAATGTGTTCAGCCTCTTCAGTCCCATCACTTGCTTTCTAACTGGGCACATTATCCATTGAAACAGTTTTCACAGCATCTATGAGGTTGGATGGAGAACAAATTTCACTGAGATACAAACGCTGGCTCATCAGCTGGACTCACTCACTCAGAAACTAACTTCCTCTTACAAACCAGCCTTAATTAAGTATGTTCATAACTTCAGAACTGATAATGACTACATTTTATGGATTTCAAATAATCCTAAAACATAGTTAAAACTATGGAAACGAAATTTATATTTTATAAGTGAGCTTGTTTTGAAGACTTCAGAACCACTTGTTTTCAAATGAATCAAAATCAACGACTGGGCTTTAAGAATTCCCTTGGTGTGTGGAGAGACTGGGACCTTCCTATATTGCTGGTGGGACTCCAAAATTGTTCAACCACTCTGGAAAATGGTATGGTGCTTCCTCAGAAAGTTGGAAATAGAAACACCTTATGAACCAGCAATCTCTCTACTTGATAAACTGTTGTAGTTGATAAGCATTAGTAAGTTGCTTCTGATTCATAGTGACCCTGTATAGGATTTCCCACAAGCAGCTGGTGAGTTTGAACTACCGACTGTGTAGTTCAAATCAACCTTGCAGTCCAGCACATTAATCCACAGTGCTATACCAGTACTTAGTATATCGCCACAAGAAATACGATCCAGGTCATTAGTAGATATATGCATACCAATGTTCATCAAAACACTATTCACAAAGCAAAAAGGTGGAGATAGCCTAAGTGCCAGTCAATGGAAGAATGGACAGACTTTGGCACATACACACAATGGAATATTATGTAATCTTGAAGAATAACAATGAATCTGCAAAACATCAGTGAACTTCGAGAACATATGCTAAGTGAAATTAGTCAATCACTAAAGGACAAATATTGTTTGATACCATTATTGTAAAAGGGTACACAAAGGTTTCCGGACTAAAAGAAACATTCTTTGATGGCTACGGGGTGGGGGCGGGGAGAGGAATGTAATTCACTGGCTAGACGGTAGACACATGTTAGCTTGGGTAACAGGGAGGGTGGCAGGTGAACAACGAAGATAGGGGAAGGCTTAGGGAGGTATGCATGGGCTAAATGGAAAAAAGGTAAATGGTGATTTATATAAAACCTTGGAATAAAAGTGGTCTATGCATAGATACATGGATTGAGACACAGACTGAAAGGGGAAAATGTTTATGTGCTTGACTGTCTTAAGGATATTTGTTTCCCCTGACTACTATTGTAAACTAGACATTTATATGTGATATAAATGAGCATTGGGAAATATGATTACAGAAAGCTTGTAAGACTGCCTTCAGTCTATAACTAATTGAATTTGCTAAAAGGGGAACTAGAATTTGCCCAGGGAAATAGGCTTCTTGTTTAACCATGGTAGAGTATGGGGCCTTAGAAGGAATCCAGCACCCCACTCAGAACCTTCTAAGTTAGGGCATTCCCACTTGAAAAGACATGCAGACCAACCCAGAACTGCTGGGAGAACAGAAGGTTCTTACTGAAAGATAGACATGCAGCAGAAAAAAATAGAAAGCAGACTAGCTATTTGAATATCAAGCAAGCTGTTTGATTTGGAGGCATCAAGAAAAGAAAAGTCAGCCCATCAGGAAAAATCCCCTTTTAGGACTGAAATCAAAGGGAACCCATGAGCAGTATACCAGGCTCACTAGTGACCACCTGGAGCTACTTGTGGAAGTGGTGAAAATGCAGCAATGAGATGAGTGAGAAAAGAGGAAGAGCTGGCTGGTCTGAAAAGATGTGTGAACACCTGAGATTGTGGACACTGACCTAGCCCCTGGAGGTTAGGACTGAGAGTGAAGAAGCCAGCTGGTCTGAAGTGCAAAGAGGTGTGCATGAACTCCCAAACTTACAGCTAATACCCATTTGACGTAGTTTGGATGACAGTTGACCAGAACTCAAATCCAGGAAGCTAAAGATGTTTGATACTGAGAAGTGTAAATTGCTGCAATTTAATGAACTAGACTTTTGCCTACCAATGCAGTGACTCAAAATTCCAACTGGAATGGAAGGATTCTTCTTATCAAGGAACAACCTTGTTTCCTCAGTTTACTGGGTTGATAGGGACAAGAAATTTAGACATTGCTATCAGAAATTGATACAAAGAAGGCTACAAAGGCATGAAGCAGCTGGTTTACAAGCTTTCATGAGTTGCTTAGTTGCAGAATGATAGGAGTAAGGCAGAATGCCCAGTGAATAATTTCTCTGTTTCCTAGATCTGGTGAAAGGGGATGGGGGACAACAGTGATAGGATTTTGTGACTCAATTGTGAATTATTGTTAGAAGGATTTATTGTAATTGTCACAACTGCAACTGTAGAAGACGTGTAACTAAAAGGAGGTAGTAGGTAATTTCATTTCAGGAACAGAGGATCTCAGAACCTGCAAGAAGGAAAAGCATAAGTGGAGCATGAGATCCCTACCTAGAAAAGCAGCGATAGTAAAGACAGTGGCCGTGTGCCTGGGAGCAGGAGTCTGGCTGGCAGAATGTGCCCTTTGGACATTTAAATGAATATATATTCTTTTGTTTTGTAAATGTGCATCAAATATTTTTGCCTTGTTCATTTGTGAAACTAAGATGTAAATGGGGAGCCGCAGGAAGGAATTCGGATAAACGTTGTTGCAGGGAGGGGATTGTAATCATTGAGATGAAACAAGGTATGCAGTTGCTTAACATAGAGCTAATGATCTTGTCTGTATTAACTTCACCCAATTTAATATAAAAAAAAATTTTTAATCCCTTGTGATTAAAAAGGAATTCTTCACCCAACAATGATCTTACCATACATTAAAATACTGTTCCCTCTTAGGTCCTATGTCTTTATCCAGATATTTACCTGCTACTACAAGCTGCAAGCTTGCTTCTACAAAATAAGATCCCTCTTGGAAATGGCACCAGTACTGCCCATTGTCAGATGGTTGGATGTTGTGAATCTTCAAAGTCATATTTCCCTGGGCGATGTCATCTTTTATCCACTCTACCCGGCCTTTGTACTCCTCCATCTGCATCTCGGTCACCTCATCCCCATCCCAATACGAAAGCACAGGTGTGCTGGGCTCTGAGCGATACCACTGCACCTTCATGTGCGTTGCACTTCTCTTGGGGAGCAGCTGACAGGATAATAGGGCATCTTCCCCGACATTGACCAGCATAGGATAGACAGAACCAATCACTGTAAAATCATCTACAAAATATAGTGAAAAAGAAAACTCAATGAAGGCTTAATATTCTTGCTTTGGAATGCTCAACCTGTCAGCAATGAATGCAGTAGAGGAGGGAAGATTTGATCTTAAAATTTTAAAGAGAAATCCAGCATGATGATTTCGACCTTTTGGTTGTGACAGACATGATTTATTTTGTGTACACAAGCAGTTCAAAAATGTAAGCCTGAGTGCTGAATATTTATTTCACTTTGTTGTTGTTGTTGTTAGGTGCCATCGAGTTGGTACCAACTCATAGAGACCCTATGCACAACAGAACATAACACTGCCCGACCCTGGGCCAACTTCACAATTGTTGCCACACTTGAGCCCATTGATGCTGCCACTGTACCAATCCATCTCGCTGGGGGTCTTCCTCTTTTTCTCTGACCCTCCACCTTACCAAACATGATATCTTTCAGCGACTGGTCCTTCTTGACAATATGTCTGAAGTATGAGAGATGAAGTTTGGCCATCTGCATCTGTGCAATTTAGACACAAATTCACTACTCTCGGTGACCTATCGAGGCTTGAACCTCTATTTATTTTGTTTTAAACCACCTAAGCCATCTGAAATTACCATATCTGGGTTGCCATTATTCTCAAGTAATATAATATGTAAATTGATTTTTAACTAATAACTTTATTATTGTTCTAACCACCTTCCCTAAAATTTAGTTCATAAACCCATTCATTAGATTTTTATTACTTCAGAGTTTCTCTTTTCCTCACTAGGGAATTAAGCTTTTCTTACTTTTGTTTTAAATGAAAGATTCCAGTTATTGGAAGCTCTGTACAATCTAGTTTATTCAAGAATATTTTCTGAGGGATTCAAGGAAATTATTTTTCTAGAAATTTTCTATCAAATTTTCAGTCATTTTTGGACTCTTCACAATTGTTCATTGCAAATCAACAATATTTAGTAATGTATGCTTAATAATGTGTGATACTGTTTTATTCAATAATTTCAAGTTGTGTATTTATGACCTTTCTCAACAGCTGCTCCTCGGAAACCCCATATACGGTGGCTATGAGTTGTAACCGGCTCGATGGCACTTAACAAGAACAACATCTTAAAATGCTTCAGAGTCATTTGCACTTTCTCGGTATAGAATTAGTGTTACGAATCGGGCTGTTAATCTCACAATCAGCAGTTTCATACTACCAGCTGTTCCACTGGAGAAAGATGAAGCTTTCTGCTCCTGTAAAGATTTACAGCCTCAGAAACCCTATAGAGGGTCGCTATGAGTCAGAACCAACTCCACAACACATAACAACAACAACAAGAAAGAACTTCATTTTGCTTAGTTGCAACTCATTATCAAATAGATATTGCCCAAAAGACCACCATAAACTGCAATGGAGGTCTGCCATCTTCATTTACAGGTTAGGAAATGGAAAAGAAGGGGAAATAACTTCATTCATCATGGCTTGTGACAGCACTGACTCTAGAGCATGTTTCCTGATTCCCTGACCAATGGTTTCCCACTTTGCTATGCTGCATTCTTCTTGGAACTCTAGTATTTCCCTTTGACATTGAATTTTCATTACTCTTTCAAATTCATATACTGAAAGTTCCCTTCTGGTTTCTTATTTCCAAATTTCCAAATACTCATTATTTCTATATTGCTGAAGTCATGGAGTTCTGTAGAAGAATGGATAAATAGCTTAATAAGTTACCAGGACTAAGTCAGGGGCTTTTCATGTATGATCTCATTTAAAGTCTGTGTTTGCTTATAGAACATAGGCACTGCTATTATTCCTATCATAAAAATAATGAAACTAAGGCAGAAGGTGTTCAAGTAACTTTCCAAAGGTAATACAGTTGGAAGTGAAGGAGCCTTTTTTGAAGATATGTTTTGGCCCAGGAATTCAAACTCTTAAATGTTGTACTTGTCCCTTTGAATTTAGAATTCTGCATCTGGAGTGCAACCCTGTAACATTAGAGTCTAGTAAGAGGAAAAAGGAATTGATTGTACCTGAGCGTTTCAGATTCAGCACTATAAAGCAGAAGGAGGCAGCTAGACCAGAAAAAGAGATTCCTGGAATATCCATCATCTTCCCTGAAACAAACACAAGAGAAAAAACATGACTGTGTTCAAATGAACCAAGTCCATTCCATGGTTTCCAATGAGTATACAGTCTTAACACAGATATCAACATTCACCCATCTTCATCAAAACACAAAATGGGCTTGCCTCCATTTATCTGCAGTTATGTTTTCTTCCTACCCTTTATTTAGTATGTTGTACTCTATTTCTACTCCTGTAAAGATTTACACCCTCGGAAACCCTGTACAGGGTCGCTATGGTTCGGAACCGACTGGATGGCACTTAACAACAACAACTCTAAGGTATTTTTTGGTCTAAAGGTTGGTTTTGTTTTTTGTTTTAATGCCTGAAATGTTTTTGGTTTCTGTTTCTTCTACTTTTTACTGTGAATTCAGTGAAGGTCTACAGAGTAGCCCATGAGCTCCACATTCAACAACTAATATACTTCATTTCATTTTAATTATTATAATCCCCTCCATGTACCATTGATTATTCCATTTCCTCCCAGTGACCCCTGTCTCCATTCCACCCTTCCTACCAACCCCTCTGAGCTCTGCCCTAGGCAAATGCTGCCTTTCTGATCTAAAATGGCCGACCACTCCAGGGCAAGCAACACTCACAAGTGTTGCTATTTACCCCCATACACCTATATACTGCTGGGCCAAAAATCAAACGACAAGACTGAGTGCAATTCCAGATTGTCTCAGGTTCCTCCAGTCTCTTTATGACCAGTAAAGTCCTTTGTATAATTATGAGTTTTGTTCCACATTTTCTTCCACTCCCCGGACCTTCTAATGTGATCCCTATTAGAACTGTTGGTAGTGGTAGCCAGCCACCATCTAGTTCTTCTGGTCTCAGGGTTGTGGAAACTGATGTTCACTTTTTCCATTAGTCCATTGGATTAACTGATTCCAAGTGTTTTCAGTTTTCATCATTCTTCTTTCCTCCGCACAAGGAGAGACCAACAGTTGCACCTTAGATGGCTGCTCATGAGCTTTTCAAGTTGCTACTCACAAAAGTAGGATGTAGATAGAATATAGTCTTTGTGGACTATGCTATGCCAACTGACCAAGGGGACCCCTGAGACTATGGTTCTGAACCCCCAGACTCAGGAAATCATTCCCTCAAGGTGTTTGGTAGTGTCTAAAACATTTTCATAATTTTGACCTCTGGTGTGGTGCTGTACGATAAACATTGAAAAGCTAACTGCAAGGTTGGCCATTCAAACCCACCAGTTGCTCCTTGGCAACCCTCTACAGGGTTGCTATGAGTTGGAACCGACTCGATGCTTAACAACAACAACACGCTCCACCACAAAGTACTGTTATGGCACTATAGAATAAGCAATAACTGATAACTTCAAGGCTGGTGGTTCAAACCAAGAAGCTACTCCTTGGAAACACTATATAGAGTCACTATGAGTCAGAACCAACTCAACGGCATTTAACAACAAACACTTCACCACATTCAAAGATACGGCTTGCAACATCTCCTTGTTGTTTTGATTTGCATCTCTCTTGTCCTGGTGTGGCAGTGAAAGGTAAGCACTGGACTGCTAACCACAAAGTTTCTGCTCTTCAGAAACCCTATATAGTCTCTCTATGAGTCGGAACCAACTCAACAACAACAATAGCTAATGTTAACAAGCATTTTTTTTCATGTGTTTATTGGCTGCCTGAATGTCTTCTTTGGTGAAATGTATGTTCATATCCTCTGCCTATTTTTAAATTGGATTATTTGTGAATGACAATTTTCAATTGCAATGAAAAGCACTTCTGGGCTAACAGTATGATTTTTATTATTTTTTTAACCATCTGTTTGAGCACTCAGAAATTATAGAACAGGACTCAACAATTTTTCTCTTCTTACTCTCAACACCTGCTGCTAAATCCTTCATTGCTACAGTTTCTTAGATGTAGAGGGAAGAAGGAGCTCTGTCAAAAGGCAGTCAGGAAGCCACTATCCAATGCCAGAGGTGAATCCAGGGGAAAGGTATGCTTTGGAAAGAGAAGAAAAGAGTGGTGGAAATGATGTCTACAGCAAAAGATAACCAAGAAAAGTACTTAAATATCTCCTTTCTGTGTTGTTGTTGTTGTTGTTAGGTGCCATCAAGTCAGCTCTGACACATGTCTACCCTGTATGGGATTTCAGAAGAGCCATTGGTGGGTTTGCACAACCAACCTGGTAGTTACTAGTTCAGTACTTACCCTACTATGCCACACTGAATCAACCCAAATGAAAGAGTTTATCAAATCCAAACCCATTGTACCAGTCTCGCACAGCTAAAAAGATTTTTTTCAAATTGTTGCTATTGTTAAGTGCTGTTGAGTCAATTCAGACTCATAGCAACCCTGTATGGGGTTCCCAAGGAGCAACTGGTGAGTTTGAACCACCGACCTTGTGGCTCAAATCAACCTTGCAGTCCAGTGATTTATCCCACAATGCCACCCCTGGTAATTCCTCAAATTACCAGGACAAAAATAGAAAGGATAATAATTCACTGACTAAAGGGTTGTTACTGTTGTTGTTAAGTGCCATCAAGTCAGTCCCAATTCATAGGGACCCTATACAGGGTTTCCAAGGAACCTCCGACCATGAGGTTCAAACCGACCTTGCAGTTCAGTGCATTATTCTGCAGCGCTACACTAGGACTCCTAGCTAAACGGTTGCTGTTGTTGTTGTTAAGTGCCATCGAGTCAATTCCAACCCATAGCGACCCTGTATAGGGTTTCCAAGGACCAGCTGGTGAGCTTGAACCACTGACCTTGCAGTTCAAATGACTTTGCAGTCTGACACATTCATACACAATGCCACATGATGGCGAAGGCAATATACAAGAGGGAAATTCGCAGAAGAATGATAAAGGTTGGGGAAGGAACACAAGAGTTAAAGTGAATATAGGTAAACACTGTTATATGCACAGCCCTGCACTAACAGTGATCTATGGGAAGATAGACAAGCTGAACAGGTATGAGAGGGAGAATAGGAGCATATCCACAAATATAAAAAGATTTAACACAGGATATTTGTACATGAGTACTTACCTTTGCTTCAATCATATCTATGAGTGTGGTGGAGCATGTTGTTGTTAAGTGCCGTTGAGTGAGTTCCAACTCATAGTGACCCTGTATAGGGTTTCCGAGGAGCAGCTGGTGGGTTTGAACTACCAACCTTGTGGTTCACAGTCAAATGCTAACCCTATAGCGTCACACCAGGACTCCGTGGTGGAACATGCAGGGTTCAAAATTATGAAAATGTTTTAGACACTACCAAACACCTTGAGGGAATGATTTCCTGAGTCTGGGGGTTCAGAACCATAGTCTCAGGGGTCCCCTTGGTCAGTTGGCATAGCATAGTCCACAAAGACTATATTCTATCTACATCCTACTTTTGTGAGTAGCAACTTGAAAAGCTCATAAGCAGCCATCTAAGGTGCAACTATTGGTCTCTCCTTGTGAGGAGGAAAGAAGAGTGATGAAAATTGAAGACACTTGGAATCAGTTAGTCCAATGGACTAATGGAACAAGTGAGCATCCGTTTCCACAACCCTTAGACCAGAAAACTAGGTGGTGCCTAGCTACCACTATTCACAGTTCTAAGAGGGATCACTTACCTTTGCTGCAGAGCAAAGATGTCAGCTTGAGGACTAGGGTGCGCCTGACCCAGGCCATTGTGTTTTCAATAGCCTCATATGGATGCGAAAGCTGGACAGTGAATAAAGAGGATCGTAGAAGAATTGATGCCTTTGAGTTGTGGTGCTGGAGGAGAATACTGAAAGTGCCATGGACTGCCAAAAGAACCAATAGATCTGTTTTGGAAGAAGTGCAGCCAGAGTGCTCCTTGGAGGCCAGGATGGCTAAGCTTCGTCTCTCCTACTTTGGACATGTAGTCCGGAAGAAACAATCATTGGAGAAGGATGTCATGCTGGGTAGGGTGGAGGGTCAGAGAAAAAGAGGAAGACCTCCAACGAGATGGATCAGCCAGGTGGCATCATTGATGGACTCGGGGGTGGCAGCGGTGGTGAGGTTGGCCCAGGATCGAGCATTGTTTCGTTCTGCTGTGCATGGGGTCGCTATGAGTCGTTTCCGACTCGATGGCACCTGACAACAACACAACAAGAGGGATCACATTATAAGGTCCTGGGCAGAGTGGAAGAAAATGTGGAACAGAACTCAAACTTTAAAAAAAAAAAAAGACTGGCTTGTTGGTCATAAAGAAACTGGATGAACACAAGACTCTGGACCTTGGCCACTCTTCAGGTCTGTAACTGCACTCACTGTTTTAGTTTGATTTTTGGCCCAACAGTATTTAGGTGTATGAGGGCAGACAGCAACACTGATAGGTTTTGCTTGCCCTGGAGTGGCCGGCCATTTTAGATCAGAAAGGCAGCGTTTGCCTAGGGGCGGAGCTCAGAGGGATTGGGAGGCAGGGTGGAATGGAGATAGGGTCCCAGTGAGGAAATGACTTACACTGCATGGAGGAGATTGCAATCATTAAAATGAAACGAAGTGTGTTATTTCTTGAATGTGGAGTTGATGATCTGTTCTGTAGACCTTTGCTCAAGTCATAAAAGAAAGTTTTTTTTAAAAAAATAGAATGCTAAACCAATGTTCTCCTATCACTCAATTCACAATAAAAACTTTAAAAAAAATAAATAAAATGTAAAGACTTGAAAATAAAATGTAAAATCAGAGCATTTCCCAAAATTAAATATGCGTCATTAGGAAAAAGTACTTTCTAACAATTCCCCACCAATAAGCTATGAAATCATACTGTTTAAGAAATATTGCTACTTTATATGATCATCAGGCCCCAGAGTACTTGTAAACACAGATAGAAGCTGTTGCAGGATGTAAAACAAAAAAGAAGCATCTCATCTAAGGTCAAATAACTAATCCAATGCTAAACGCTCAGACAAACTTTCACACTGACTCTAACCTTGTTGGTTTAGTAAATAATAACCCGAACATTAAAGAAAAGTTTTTCCTTTGTGGTTAGGTTATGAAG